AGTCAGAGTCGTTCCTTCTTGTTACCTCCTTCCTCCTCAATTTCTCAATCCCTCCCTTCTCCATAATCCATCCAGCAGGATGTCCAGTTCCTACTTGTCTTAGTTACTTTTCTCCTTGCTGAGATAAAATACTCGACAGCCAAAGTTAAAGGAGTAAAGGTTTATTTAGCTCATGGTTTGTAAAGGTTTCAGTCCATAATTGGCTGGCTGCAAGGTAGGGTGGCATGGCAGGGATTCATCATAGAGGAGAAACAGTTCATGGTGGATAGAAGGTAACAAAGCAACAAAGTAGCTAAGAAGCAAGGGACCTTAGCAGCTTCTTTCTACCCCTTTTATATTCTATCTAGGCCACTGGGTTTAGGGTGGATGCCAAACCAATCAGTGGACTGATATAGTAATCACACACCCTTAATCCCAGTGTCACATACTCTAGATCCAGCCACCTCTGAAAAAGCCCCCCTCCCCGTGACTGCCTGAGGCTTTGCGGAGACATGTAGACACAAGCCATAACACAACTCTTCTTAGAAAATGGCAGTATCTGGTGAAAATACCCCAATTGACCTCATTTCCTGCTGGATATCATTCCTCCTTCTAGTCCTACACTTTCCCTGCTTTCTTGAGCCAATCCTTCCTCTTTTAGCTCGGTGAGTTCATTTCCTCATCCTGAGTTTTTTGCCCCATACTTCATCCTACAAAATGTATCAGACAACAAATGTTGACAAGACATCTCCTACTAGCTCCACTCTCTTTTCTTATTGTAAAATTTCCCAAAATAGGGTCCATCCTTATTGCCATCATCATGTTCTATCCATTTTCTCCTAAATTTTGCATAGTCTAAATGTTTCTGAAAAACTATTACACATTAGGGGAAATGTCTGGATGTTGGGTGCCACACGGCTCAGATCTTCAGCTCTGCAATAATAAGAAAAGCCTAAACAACTCTGGATTAAATGTGCTTTACTAGGTGGTCCTCCCTGACAGCCTCCTTCCTTTGACTGGCGACCAAGTGACAAACCCACTGGGTTCTACTGGGTTCAGTGCAAGCTATGTCTGCTCTCTCGGGGTCCTGACCACATTCCTACCTGGCTCTGCTCCTCCTAGTGCCAATCTTGGCAGGTTTTCTACCACATTACTTTCTGAATCTGAAGGTTTCGCTGACAAGCTCCCTTCTGTGACCCTTTCCTTATTGCTGAGCTCAAATCTCATCACCCAGGTCCATAGCACCCAGCACTAAACGATGTTTATTGGAAGGGAGAGGAGGGCTGCAGGTGCCATGGAAGGTGAGCCAGAAATCAGGGCACACTGTCTGGTGCCCATGCCTATAGGGAAACAAAAAGAACATTGTCAATCACCTCTCATGGAAAATTCTGAACTTATGATCTACAGATACAATAGAAAGTTTACAAATTTGGATCTATTAATAGGACCAATAGAAATAAAAACTTATGACACATACTTTATAAAAACAATGAGAAGACCAGGCATGGTGTAACTCCAGCATTCTGGGAGGCTGAGGCAAGAGGATCACAAGTTAGACCCCTGCCTTGGCAACACAGTGACTTTAGTGAGACCCGGTCTAAAAATAAAAAATGGCCAGGGATGTAGCTTAGTGCAAAGGCCCTGGGTTCAATCTCCAGTACAACAGCAGCAATAAAGACCAGAAAACTGAAAACCCGAAGGATCACAGATCATTCACTTACACTATCAGACAAGAACAAAATAACAGGCTATGATTCCTAATTTTTCAACCTTAAGCACTCATGTTTGCCTCACAACCTTGGGTTCCTTAAAGAGATCACTTTATCATCAGTAGGAATGTTAGTGTGGAGATAAACTCTTTTTAACTCGGTCCCTAACTCAATGAGTTCCCTATGCTGGCCATTCAAAAGGGTCAGGGTGAGGTCAGGGAGAGGGGTCATGGTGACCCCTCTCCTCCCTCAGCTTCTTTCCACACACTTGTCCACGGCCTCAGCTCTCTCTTCACCCTACCTCTTGCCATTTCTATGGGATCTTTTTCCCCCTCTCTCACACTATTTGTCTTCTTCCTTTCTCCACTTTGAAGTTTCATTTTCCATCTCAAGAAAGCAGTCATTTGCCTTCTTCCCATCTGAAGGCTTTAAGAGAAATGCATGTTTGTCCATAGAGCATCTGGCTCCCAGAGAGTGGTCTGAGAGTTCCATATGCAAAGGTCTACATCTGTGAAACAGTTCTGGTAGTGAAAGGGAGGCGCCAATATAAACGCATTCACCATGTCTGCCCACTAATGGGAAGGACTGGATGGCCTCAGGAGAGCCCTGGATGCCCCAGATGCCTGGTTCTAGCTGATGCACATGAATGCTTTAGCAAAGGGTGTGGAGGCCACCTCTCAATAAATAAGGTATACTGGACACACACCCTTAGTTCCCTTTCCCACAAACATTGAAGGCAGGACTGAGGCACAGGACCAGATCTAGGAGCACTGATGGGAGAGTTGTCTGAGGAACAGTTAGACTGCCCAGTTCCTTCCCTCACCCTGAAACACAAGCTACCCCTCTCCTGCATCCTAGTGGACACCTGGAGCTTTGCTCTTGGCATAAATTGGGTCAGAGTTCACAGTAAACTCCCACATGTCAGCCCAGCAGGGTGGGAAAGAAGGTCCAATCCTGAAAACAGTTACAGTTTCTATATTGAGGGTGAGACTCTGTGGCTCCTTTGTCATGCCTGGTTCAGCAGTGCTGGCATCTATGCTTGTGTCTCCTATGGCAGACAGAATGATGGCCTCCAACAGTGCCCATGTTCTAATCCCTTGAACCTGTAGCGAAAGGATTTTGCAGATTGCTTCGGTTGGATGGGAAGATTATCCTGGATTATCTGTGTGAACTCAGTGTGTCACAGTCTTTTTAAGACTCTGTACTCCAGTTGGTAAATGTATTTTTCACAAGGCTATATAGATTGCCAACTCTGAAGCTATTCAATTGCTATACTAGACCTGAAGAAGCAAGTAAATACATTGTAAATAATGAGAAGCAGGCTTCTTTGTCAATGTTTGAGAAAGAAGTTGCAAATAAAGAAAAAGAGCAAAACTAAATGTATCCTAATGTGTTGGATTTTAATCAGAGGAATATACCCTGGTGGCCCTCTGTATCCATTGATGCTGAATCCATAGATTCAACCAACTGTGAATAAAAATATTTCTCTATACTGAACATGCAGACTGTGTGTGTGTGTGTGTGTGTGTGTGTGTGTGTGTGTGTGCGCGCACACCAGGGGTTGAACCCAGGGCATTTGCACTGAGCTATATCCCCAGTGCTTTTTCATTTTGAGACAGGGTCTTGCTAAATTGCCCAGACTTGGCTCACATTTTCAGTCCTCCTGTCTCAGTTTCCCGGAGTGCTGGAATTACAGGTGTACACCTCTGTGCCTGGATATTATTTCTTAAACAATACAGTGTAACAACTCTTTACATAGTATTTCTATTGTATAGGTATTCTGAGTAACCTAGAGATGATTTGAAATATACAGAAGGGTATGTATAGGTTATATACAAATTCTGTGCCATTTTATTACAAGGGATTTGAGCATCCGTGGATTTTGGGATCCACAGGGACTCTTGAAACTACCTGCCTGTGGATACCCAGGGACAAAGGAGCTAGGGGTCCGAGGAGAAATAGTTAATTCTGGGGAGGAGGCAGGGAAAATTCAAGAGAAGCCTAGAACATGTTCTAGTGTCCAAGTAAGAAAGTGCTTGTGAAATGATGGAGCTATGTTGTAAGGACACCATTTTGAAGGAACTCCAGGTAGCAACATCTAGGGCAATTTAAGCCAAAAAAAAAGAATTATAACCTGTAAAATAAAAGAAGTATACAGGAATCATACATAATTCAAAGAATGGACAGGGGAGAGGGGATAGGTCTTATTTACAATAGAATTCAAATTAGCAAATATACAAGGAATGATAGAAAAAAATTACAATTTGATTTTATATCATACCACAATAGTAAATGTTATAGGCAAGAAACATCAGTGGATGCTGCAACTATGGATGAAAGTATGAGAAAAAAGACAGTTGCACCATCTGAAAGCGTCTCCTTGAAAGATTGGTATTAGTTACAAAAATAGTAACTTTGTAGTGGTGAGCCTGGCAGATGTCCTAAGTGTTAAAGTTAACATCAACTATAAAGAAATGGGGAAGTCCTGATAGGGGGCACAAAGAGCAGTTTATCCTGTCCCTACCAAAAATGTAGATGACTAACATTAGAGAAATCAGGCAGATCCAAACTGAGTGGCATTCTACATATTAACAACCCACTGTTCTTCCAAAGGGCCAAGGTCACAAGCAACAAAGAATTTATCCTAGGAATTAATCCACAATGGAGGGGACTAAGAAGACCTGGAAATTAAATATAATGTAGGATCCTGAAGCAGAAAGGAGACATTTTGGGGACAGCAGGCAAAATTCTATAAAAGTTTACAGATTGCTTAATAGTATTACACTATGTTTATTTCCTAGTTTTGATGATTATTCTGTGCATATGTAAAATGATAACACTAGGGGGCACTGAACTCAGTGTATTTTTTTAAATTTTAACAATTTCTTTTAAAATTTAAGGAGTAATTATTGTACTCTTGTTTTTATTAATCAAAGACATATATGACTACTGGAGCTTTATCAGTCATAATGTTACTACATTGCATTGCCACAGCGAATTGATGTTAATTCAACCTAAAGTAACAAAATTTCTTTATTTGATTGTTTTTTGAGACAGAGTGTCACTATGTAGTCCAGGCTGGCCTCAGACTCAAGGTGGATCCTCCTGCCTCAACATCCTGAGTGCTGGGATTACAGGCGTGTATCACTACACCTGGTTCTATGTACTCTTCTTAAAGATAGTTGTTTTCTTTTGAAATATCAAAAATAGCTCACAGATCTCTTTTATCATCTTTGAAGATTCCTAGATTTGAAAATCACATAAATAATGTCTAACATAGCTTTGATAATTTGTTTCCCCTTTTCTCTTGAGGTTAAACCACAGCTTGAAGAAAAAACAAATCAGTCTTACCAAGAATTCAAAGCTGAAGAGTATAAAAGTCAAGTGGTTGCCGGAATAAATTACTACATTAAGGTTAGAATTCAACATCTTCTTTACCACTGTATTATATTTCTCATTTGATGTAATGATTCTTATTCCCTACTGATTGTCCTAAATTAAGATACCAGCATGACACCTTTCTAGTGACAAGTTCTCTAATTTGACAGAGGATCTTATACCATTTTTGTGAATTTAGAAAGCTTTCTTATATTCTTAGCTTCTAATTTCTAGAAATTATACAGAAAATCACTTCATAACAGTTCAGGGTGTGCTTGGTTTGCGGCCATGGCTGTTTTGACTGTCTGGTGGGAGGTTAATATCTCAGCTACCTACAGAGTGGGACTGTACCAGGTAGCACCTTGAAGTTTATCTCACCTCAAAACTTTATGATCCTGTGTGTCCAAATTAAATGGATTTAAGGAATGACTTGAATAATGTGCTGTGAAAAGAATTTTAACTGTTTTCCCCATTAAGTATTTTGATTAATATAATTTAAATATACTGCAAACATGTACTAATAAAAATAAATTAAAATTATATATAATTTAAATAACTTTCTGCAACTCAAAAAGATTCAGCTTATGGCACTCTAAGTACAGTTTAAAGCTGAGGAATATTTAATTTTTTTTTTTTTTTTTACTGAGGATTTTACCAGGGCCTTTGCACTTTTTAGAATATTTTTATCCTCATCCCTTTTTAGAATATTTTTTACTTTTGAGAAAAGCTCTCACTAAATTGGTAAATTACCCA